CGAGGCTCAACATCCGAGGGCAACTCAGTATTAAAATAGCAGTAACTTAGCTGTTCCATTTAACAAACGTTACGATCACTAATTACAATTTTTTTAAACGCCCACTCGTTACAGTGCCGATCCTTTCCTTTTTTTCCCTATTTTCGGTGTACCTCCATTACAGGAAAATAGTAAGAAGCAATCCTTATCGGAATGAATATAATTTCTATTACCACTTTTCAAAAAAGTACAAGTGCGACATTGGCAAGCGAAGTAAATTTCCTGTTCAAAGCCGTTTCTTCTTAACACACCCTGAAGCTCATTTTTTTCTCCTTCTTCTTCCTCTCCCTCAAATTGACGTATGAAATCACACAAAACATTGAATTCGCTCAAACAGAAATGCTCACCATTTATTTCTTTACTTTTTTTATATTCTTTTTTTTTTTATTTGAATAATTCACTAGAACTGCATTTCGTGACTACCACCAATGGATAGTCAATGCAAATTAGTTCCATCTCAACTTCTCAGGTTTACACTGATACAAAGTACACTGTGAAGTCGTTTGTCCCTCCACAGTTATTGATACCAGTTGGCCCTACAACAGTTCGCTTTGCTCTATCTTCAAGCGATATGAAAGCCGCACGTTTTAAAACAACGAATTCAAGCGCATTTTTTTTTTTTGTTTTTGCCTCATTTGCCAGCCTTCTCAGATTTTACTCATGAGGCAGCCTCCCCAAATCTTCTTGCAGAGGAAGAGAAACTTTTGACCCACTGTGGGATAGGACGGCAGATAACTTTGCTATGTGCCATACTGCAGCTAATCCTAAAATATTACCGAGCAAAACATGTAAACTAACAAAATTTTTGATTATTATAAACTTTGCAAAGAGAATGTTACACTGTCACTGCTATCCTTGTCAATTTCATGAACTGTGGCAGAAGACTGTCCGCTGAGAACTTCTTCCTGGAAATTGAACGCCCAAATTAATTTTTGAACAAATTACTTACCTCAAATTAAATATTTTCTTTGATTTAGTGAAAAACCAGCATTTAATGGTATCACTGCGTTTCTTATAACGTCACAATCAGTTCATCCACAAGACAGTTTCTAGCTGCTTATTTACAGACAATTTGATTTCACAATAGTTCACAATAGTATAATTAGCCGTTCCAAAAATGTACAAACGGATATCCGTTTGCTCACTGCACCTAGAAAGCCGAACAAATGCTTATTTTGGCTCTCTCGTGCTTAAAAAATTTTTATTCTTCATACACTTTCCCCTCTCCTAAAGGAATTCTTTTAAGCCTTTTGGAAAACTTGAACCCTTTCCAATTTACTCTAAGGCTTCAATAGTTACTCAAACATTTTCCATCGTTTCCTTTGCAAATCACCTTCCCCCAAAAACAGCATAAATTTTTATATTCTGAAATTTTATATTCTTATATTTTTATATTCTGAACACGCTTCCAACAAAAGCAGTTACAACAAAACCATGTTTTTTATTCATCTATCACATCAAAACAGTTCCACGCAACTATCAAAGCCCCCAACCCCAAACTAGAAAATTCACATGCTTTCGGTATTAAACAGCTTCTTCGTTAGCGTTTACAACAAATTCAGGAAAATGAAATTTACAACAAGTAAATCAGATTACGCAAATCAGCACTAAAGAATAGGGTATTTCATCGTTTACTCTTCTTCAAAACAATCCGATACATCGCATTTTATGATAATTATAACCAAAATGTCAAGACTAGAACTAGCGTTCTAAAAAATATGAAAAGAAAGTTTAAGCTTTACCTGGTCTGTGTCGCAAGATACCAATGATGAATCCTCGTCTGATGGCCCCTCAAAATAAAATCCAGTTTGTAATACAGAAGCTGTTGAAAATAATTTGAAACGCTGTCAAAACTTTTTTTTATTAGAATACCTTACTGAATGTACAAATGGGAAACGCTAAAGATAAAAGTTTCCTTTTCTTCTTTCCTTCATTGACAACTTTGCGTTTTTGCACTGTACTACAAAATTACATACAAGTGAAAGCCAAAAACATCAAAAGTTACCATAGAACTACTGTGCTGATCACCTGTTAATTTTGCAGATTAACTTTAGCAGTTATTTCAAACATTTTAACAACGGTAGCCGGCGCATCCCTAGAACTTATGTTTAAATAAGCTAGATGTTGTGCTTAACTCAGCTGTTGCAACATAACTAAGTCATTTTCTAGATACCATTTTGAGGTTGTTATTACCCGACCAGTTCATACAGAGAAAAAAAAACAGAAAAAAAGATTCGCCAGATCAACTTTACTCTCCACCTTCACATCATCCATTTCACTTCCCGTTTTTTCAAAAAAGGGCCCACACCGGATTACAGCGACTATCGATCGTTAATGGTGTCGAACGAGCGACCGTTCCTGCCCTTCCTTAGCTTTTCTTGCAACTCTCCTAATGACTACACAAAGAAAATCCTTTGCAAGCACTTCTAACACCGTTCTAAGCCGTAGTAGTCTGAAATACGGGATAAAATGACGCTTTTGCGGAAACAAATGCAATTCTCTCCCTCCAAAAATCTAGAAGGCAAAAACGTACCTGAAAAATTATTTAGCTAACAATGATTCGCTTCAAAATACAGCCACACGTATTGAATTCCTAGAGACGAATGAAATCAATGTCGACACTACTAAAGTACAGCAAAAAAAGTAGAAGAAACTGTGCCGGAGAACTGCGAGAACAATGTCAAAGCTTTCTTGCATACATATACCTCGTTTTGCTAGAGAGAAGCAAAATCAGAAACGCCCTCCACCAATGTAGAATAGTGATTCCCAAGATTTGGCAATGAAAAGAGTAAGAGAAGTAATGAAGGTTTTAGTTGTTGGTAGAACACAATGTTATTTTAGATTATTTCCGGAAGCTACAGCCATTTGTGAGAATGGTTTGATATAAGCAACTCTCGAAATCCCTAAAACTGATACATTCTTCCAATTGCAAATTTTAGTGAAAAAAATCGGTTTCATACATAGTTTGCAGATGTGAAAGCAGTTGCTAAAGGCCAAGGGCTCAGAGGCTGAGGGGGTAGTGTGAGTCTCCGCTGGTTCACAACTTAGGCTTCGTTGTCCTAATGGTTTACTGGAGGTCGGTGATGGTTACTGTACTCAAAGTCAACGAACACAATTAACTTGAAGACGTAACTAAAAATAAATTCAACTCAGAGACGGAAAGATCGAGTGAGAGAATCCAAAAAAAAAGGGACGTGAAAAATCTTTTATAAAAAGTCGAAAGTCGAAATTGTCAGAAAAAAGACTCTTAAAGCCGCTTATTTATCAATAAACACATCTACCTGTTCTACCACCGTGATGATGGCACTGCCTCGAAACACATCGACCTGAGCCTTCAACTATTCCCAGACGGCGGAGGGAGACGAACTAATAAAAGAATGCTAAAACTACCTCTCAGAAAGGAGCAATGGCTAAAAACTTTGAGAAACGCTGATCCGTGGTGCACTCCGGCCCCCATGAGTCCAAAAACCAAGACTTTCTAAAAAACATTGTTTGAGCAGTAGCAGCTTCAGTACTGCTGACATCTGCTGGAGATACAACACACCTCTAGCTTAAAAAGCTGCCTCTAGCGATGATCCAGAGAACCCCTTGTCTTCCCGGAATTGCGAAACCCGACAAGGCTGCTCAGCTTCTATTATACTCGCAACTTCTATAACTAGCTGACGCTATCCTTCTGATTTTCCAGTTTGCTTTCCCAGTCAGTCCGAAACACAGTATCTTTCGCCGCACTTCAGAGCTTATCAAGCCAACCGAGTTCCTTCTTGTAAGTTTCTATTTTTTATATGAACTGTCCCTATACTTGTTCAAAGCAGCTCAGAAGCTTCCTGGCCATCCGTGTGGTTAAACCATTGCTGGCTGACATAACTGTTCCAGTCAAAATCGAAGCAAACTTAACGACTAACTGCCGCATCTACTCAAAAAATCCCTTAACCAGCTGCTCCAAGTAAGGAAACTCACCTGTGCCAGTACCTTATTCTAGAAATTGAGAGGGTCTAGAAAGTAATAAAACCCCCCAAACCTTCTTCTCGAATTATCGAGGCCAAAGGTGAGATGAAACAAAGTACAAACTCTTTTTATACTCCTACCGATAAAATTAGGAGCTGTACGTAAAGTTACTTCATTGTAAGCTAAAGGTGATCGAATTGTGTGGAAAAAACACATTAATATAAACAAACGTTTATTTAGACTGATTTTCATTCTTTATTAATGCCCGCTTCAGTGCGATACCCGAATAAACACTTATGAAGAAAAACCAAAAGTAGAAGAACACGTATGTATATTTTTCCAAAGATATGAAGGAGAGGAATTGCGAGTAGTCAACCGCAAAAGCAATTACAGTGAAACAAAAAAACTGAACTTGGGCAAAAAACAGCAAGAGTAAGTCAGTAAAAAACGAGAACCGATAATGGAACAGAAAAAAATTTGTAATCATAAAAAAGAAAATTGTACAAAGTTTTTTGTCATTTTTATGACGTAAAGGGTACGAATTCCAACAGATAACTCGAATAATAAATGAAAAAAACATTTAAGTGATTCCTCATTCGCTATGACAAAAATAAAATTTCAAACATGACCACAACGGCTCAGTAACTGGGAAGCTTTGGAACTAAAGACTACGGGAAGTCAAACGATTCAAAAATTACGGTGAATACTCCGGTCCAACCGTTCGGACACCATCATTACTTCAAAATTCATTAGCTGGTGCGAGTTCTTCATAAAGAAACAGTTCGTGCAAATCAATGCGTCTTCCTCTTCATTAATTTTGAAAGCCTTTCTAATTTTAAACAAAAAATGACTATATACATGAGGAAACTCTGAGGTTATTACGCAACAGATGGGAGAAAAACTCTTGCAACTTCGAAAACACCTACTTGAAGAAATACAAAAACAAAGCCAGGTTTTTTTTCATTCTGCTAATGTTAATAGAATTTTGAGGTAAGGCTGAAATCTCGTACTTTTACTCAAGCTTCACTGAGTTTCTGATACCCGATCGAATCAAATTTTAAAACATGAACTATGAAAGAGATACTGCACCCTGGCAGTGATCTTAAACAAACAAACAAAAGTAAAATACAGGAAGTCTACAAAACTTGCAAAAATGACTATCAAAGACGGCGGTTTAGTTCGGCTACTGAATACTAGATCCTTGATTTACTTGAAAGACGTATCAGTACTCAAAGCTTTCCTCCCACTCAGTAATATATAATGTGCTGCAAGGAAGCATAAAAAATCACCTCAATTAATAATGCGCGCTACCAAACTATACATAACAGCGTACACCTACGAGAACAATAGAAAATAAACTACAAAGACATTCACAACTGGTGGTCCAAAAAAACACTATAACAACACATTAAAAGGCAGAGCAAGCTTTAGAAGGAAAACCAAACTTCCAAAGAATTATATAACAAAAAAACAAATAAATAAATAATTAAGATCTAGAAACTTCAATAACGACCATTAGGAAGTTGCTTAAAGACGGTCGAAAATTTAAAGTGTAAAATTCTAACCAAAAGGGAACTTGGTAATTAACACTTGGTTGCTTGATAAGACTTTAGTCCACAACCTTCAAGTCGCTTCCGTGCATCACTAATCATCTCCTCGACAAAACGACATTCGGGGCGGTTTGGGTATGAGACCTTTGGAACCATACGGTAGGTCCGTAATCCCATTTCAGGATGAACTACAGTTACATGAACCTGGCCATTATTACTGCGACTGAACACTAGCTTATAATGGCTCTTAATAAAGTTTATCTGCAAATGAAAAATAAAAATGAGCAAGAAAAAATTTGCGTAAAAATTCTTTCCTCCTTCGAGGTTAATTCATTTAATACTTTAGATTACAGCAATTCTGTACTAATCTACGAAATGATGACATATTACCACCTACCAGGCTGGTTTATAAAGACTTTCACGTATACGAATCGCTGACCTTTAGATCTTCATAAAAGTTTAGTTCCTTCGAAACTTTCAGTTTTTTACCAGTCTCACATTCATTAAAACATAAAATTTTCAAAAACAGTGTTTGCACCATAAGTCGAGTTTGATAAACCCTAGACCCCAGTCTTACTACTGTTTCCGAAACTGCCAAAGCTACACAGAGTCTAGCACAACCATATTACAAACACAACCCTTCCCCTTCCTCAATTTTTAAGCTGTCTAGACAATTTAAACCCTTTAAATAGACTTTTCAAACAACTAATATGCAGCCTCTGAGTAATATTAAAACATCTTCTATCGAAAAAAATTCAAAGCATAATTTCCTTTTGATATATTTTTCTGAAAGCCAAGTACTGCCTCCCCTTCAAATTCACACCAAAACTTCTCGTCCGCACCGTCAAAACACATTTATCTCTTATCCTCTGCTAGAATTTTTGCAACACATTCTTCTTCCAAAACTCTCAGGCAAAAGCAAGCAGAAAACTAATTGCCACAATGAATCAAGAATATATCTTCAAAGCCTTATTTGATTTCTTTTAGTACTCATCCCCCAAACTGAAAACACTGCTGGAAAACCAGCAAAACAGTCAAAAACGCTTGTAAATAGTTTTTGCAGCTCCTTTCCCACTGAATTACCACGACACAGAATGATGCAAGCACTGAAGAAAAGGACACCTACACATTTTAACCAGCCTTAAGAAACGCTACAAGCCAAAAGAAGAAGAAATTTTTGCATCGACCCAATAAAACACTGGACTGAAGGGAAGACCCATTAACATTGTTTCCTTGGTTCTTCTTATAACCATAAATGCTTTCTGCTTATCGAGTTAAATAACTAAACCTGAGCAGTCCCATGCGCGAGGACCATTAGCAAGGCGTCATTGCGTCGTTTCTGGTATACAAGCATATCCAAGGGCAGACTATTAACACTCTGAGTTGTAATAGCCATCTGGAGCTCTCTATCCATATATTCACTAAAAATGGCCAATTAATAATAAAGAATATAGTTGAAAATAAACTTCACTCTCAAATCTCATTTAAGAACTGATAGAACAACAGTTCTTCAGCCCCTTGGTCCATCCTAATTTTTGATTAACTCCCAAAAATAATTACTTGAAGCGAGCCGCAGTTTTGATCTTTTCGTGTATTTTAAGATCATTAATTATATCACCATCTCGCCATTCAATACGAGTTGATATGTCGTCAGCATTATACAGAAGTGCATAATGGTCACGATCCACCATCGAAGTACCAAACCTACAAAAACAATTTTATAAGCAAATCACTGTAACACTTCTTCCATAAATTTTTTTACAAAATTAAGGCATAAACTTCATAAGACTACCTGTGGGCAAAGGAAGAATTGTCAATAAAAAGCACGCAGTAGGTTCCATCGCTTAAAACGCATCCAAAACCACATTTATTCGTATAATCCACCCACTTACTCACCATAAGTAGCTTTCCTTCCAGTGAGTAAGCTGCCTCATCAGAAACTAAAGAAATGGTGATCAAAACTTAGATAATAACTTGTTAAGTGAGAACAAACCCTAATATTTTAAAACATACCAACGTAGTTACCCGCCATAACTTGGTTGTAAAGTTCCATAGGAGTTGCCTGTTGTAATCGCATAGTAAAACAACCATCTGACCCAATACCCGAGTCTCCAGAATGAGCGCTAGATGGAAGCCCACAGGTAACTATAGGTGGTATAGCAGAACAGATCTAATAAAGCAGAGGATAAGTAAATTTCTTGTGAAAAAAAGACGACCAAAACAATTTTACTAGAAATCATTTTTTAACTGAAATACCTGGCCAGTTACGTCGCATATAGTTACTGGATGCTGATGATAAACGTTCATAAAACTTGTGAGACTCATATGTGAACAGCTGCAACTTCCACCAATTAATTTGACGAAAACACAAAAGTTATTAGTTGCAAATTTTATTTCTTCTAAAAGACATACTGTACTTCGTCCACAGCAAAGAAGGGATGATGCTTTATCAAAACCACTTTTAGTCGCGAATGAACATCTGGTTCTAAAAGCCTAAAATTATCAAAAATAGAATAAAGAAGAAAAAAAACAACTCAATGTCTCGATCTTTCTGAAGAGAGTTTCAGAAGTTAGTATCCAAAAAAACTGAACAACACCAAAAATGCACTAACTGTGCTATAAGATCTTGAGCACGTTTGGAAATGTAAATACTATTTGGAAAATAGTAGTCACAGAGCGCAATACGTTTATACGTTTCTTCCAATGAATCTGTTTCAAATGGAGGCTTCCCAATAAGCATACAGTAAAGGATACAACCCAAAGACCATGCTTCTGATTCTTTTGAATGTCCCTCGCGATTCAAAACCTAAACCCTTACAACTGTGTAAGAATTTTGCGTCGGAAAACCATTGAGGTAAATGCGCTCTATACAGCTCAAAGATTCATTATCAAAAAATGATGCATTTTTTTTAAAGACCACAAACTTGGGGCGAAATGTAGTTTGGTGTTCCGCAGACAGATAAGGAAGCGGAAGGCAGATCTATAATCCGCATAGCCAAACCAAAATCTCCTAGTTTGACCTACAAAATAAGAAATAATATTTATAAATTAAACAATATATATAATGTTTGCATATACAAAACTTTTACGCATTTGGTAAAACTGAAAGTACTTGATCATTTTTGTTAATGAGCACGTTTCCAGGCTTCAAATCCCTATGGAGAATTCCTGCGGTTTCGTGAAGGTAGATCACTGCATCGACAATCTGCTCAAAATAAACTCGAGCAGATGATTCACGAAGTCGCTTTTCTAAATCTCCAGAAAATGATAAAGGAAAAAAACGACTATTTTGAAAAAGGTAAACAACGAGAAGAAAAAAAAATGAGAAATTAAACGCTTAAAGATTTTTGGTTAAGACCTTCAGCGTACTGAATCTGATGAAGCAAAGTATTGTTACTACATAGTTCAAGAACCATGTATACATTAACGGCATCTTCGAAAAAACTGTAGAGTTTAACAATGTTCGTATGCGACAACTTTTCGTGTATCGCAATTTCTTTGCGCGTCTTCTCAAGATGGGACTGTTTCGTAAGACGAGCCTTCGAAATCACCTTGAGAGCTACGTCTCTGCTGGAGGTAGACAAATCGGTTGCCGTATAGCATTTTGCAAATCCTCCCTGGAAATTCAAATTAGCGGTTTCAGAAACCCTGATAAATTTGATAATATATGATTAATTTTCCCCATTGCGAACAAATCTGATGCCTTTTTCACTCAGTTTTATGCGAAAAAAAACCCTATAAACTGCCAGGACCGGCATTTTTAGAAAAAATATTTTTTGTTTACTCAAGATCACCATACTGTTCAATAGAAGTACAAGCTGATAAGAGCAAGAGAACCAAAAATTCACCGCCTTTTTCTCTGTCCTTCACAAAATGTACTGTTCCTTAACACAGTAAAGTCGTTCTGAACAAATAATAGTCTTCCAAAAGCAAAAAAAAATTCTTGACTGCTCGACTCCCAAACCACAAAAACATATAAATGTCCAGAAAAATTTGACTTCATTTCGTTCTCCGTGATTTCTTGAGTAAAATATTTCAAAATTTTTTTTTCATTTTATTTGAAAATCCTACTGGCTGCATGTGAAATACAACACGAATAGCAGTACATCGCTGACGCTAACTTACAAAGAAAGATAACATTTCCAAAAAAAACCCATAATTGCGATGAGTCAAAACCTATCAAGTCCATGAAAAAAGATAACAACTGCTACAGCGAACATCAAAAAAACAGCAGTCTTCTACAATAATTCTTAACAATTCATTTTCAAAAAATCTTAGCATCTAAAGCAACCTGTAATAATTTTGAAGCACCATATGGTTCCTCGATTAGAAACATTATTAATTGTACAAAAATTATGCCATATAGTTAAAATCAGGGTTGAAAAAAAAAGAAACGAATCGTTGCAATGAAGAACCATATAATTGGTGGTGGTAAGGAAATATATATCTTAAAAATCTATCTGTTACTCAATTTGGAACTTCTTTCATTACGTTTGAAACCTAATACCACTCCCTTCATGATTTCTTAGGCGAAAAACGATTCACTTCCCGATTAATAATAGTGCTGCGCCAGCTTTCAATTCGCAGTGACAAAATCTCGAAACTTATTAAAGTAAAAAAAAAAAAAAAACAACCTCTGCTCATTCCTGAGCGCTGTATGTTTGACAGTCTTTGCCCTTCCCTATCATTCCTGGAGCTACTGTGATTATATTTCTCTACTTGCTGCATTAACGTAAAAAGGCCTGAGCCCTTCAAGTGAATGAAATAACAGAAGAAAAATTCACTCGTATTTTTCAGCGCTGCACACCCCCAATGCATTGCTCAAGTTTCAGAAGAGCTAGTCACTTTAGTGATATTCTGAAATCGGAACCAGCGCACACTCTTTTCTAACAAGAATGCCATTTTACTCAACCGACTCATTCATTCACTTCCAGCCCTTCTAACTCCATTAACTACAATTGAGTTTAGAAAAAAAAAGAATAAGTGGAAACAAATGATACATTCAGGATTTACTAATTTAGGTAGTTATAATGAGGAAAAAGTGTGAAGCTGGAAACTCACTCTATGACAAAACAAACTGTCATCTTTCAGCAACAGGATACGTTTAAATAAGCCAATAAAAGAGGCGAACGAAAATAATGAAGCAGGAAGGAAATGAAGAGCTAAAAATATGGTAACCTGCCCACGCGAGTGCCAATTTCACAAAAAATTTCAACAAGCGGCATTCCTATTCATCTGAAGCAGAATAGGGTGCAAGTATACGAAATTAAGAGCAGAAGAGCCAATTTCGCTAAATTAAAAACGACCAACCGTACTAAGTAAAACACTAAACTGAGCCGCCAATGAAATAATTACTACTAATTAATACTATAAATACCAGCTAAGAATAAAGCTCAATAGAATTTCTTCGTGCGAAATTCATACTCCTATTGTACGAACAAGAATTCTTCTATACCTAATAAGAATTGTTTCCAGAAATGTAATGTTTATATACATCTTTGCAACTATTGTTAACACTTTAGCAAAAAGTCAAAATTTTCTTCGACCAAAGACGATATCAAAATATCAAAGTGTAAACACAAATGCTCCTAAGCTTTGTAAAACTGTCAACATTTGCGGAAAATCAATAACAGTTTACCTTGCCAAGATAATTCACTAACAAATAACGACGACAGTGTACTGGATCATACAAAGTTGATGGTACTTTGTCAAACCCATCACTACCCCCTGACTCATTCGACGTGCATGGTCCATATCCTTCCAACTTTGGAGCCATATATCTGAAAATGCAAACTAATTCAAACCAGTGTTCAACCAAGCACAATTTTTGAGAAATGCCGCCTCAGAAATGAAGCTTCGGGCAATTTTTTTAAGAAGGGAAAGCAAAGGGCAAAAAGTGAAAGTCAAATCACAACACAAAATATAAAACTTCGGTCAACGACTGATAATTACCTAAATGGGTAGAACCTACAGGCAACTAGATCATTCTCTCTTCACTACATAACGGTTTCAACCCGCCCAATGGCAATAATGGTAAATCACAATATTGCTAAATAATGTAGTGAAAGTAACTATCAAATCATTAATCCGAAGAAACAGTCAAATAAAATTTAACATTATATAATCGGTGCTAGGAATTCTACTGATCGGTCGTAAGCATACATGCAGGTGCATTGTAAAAAAAAAAAACGTGACAGATGAACTTCACGTTAGCTACACAGACCATGTACTCGAAAGATTTGATTTTCATGTTTAGTTTCTGGATAAATTGTTCGCATGTATCCCAATGCCCTTTTCTATCCCGATCTGCTAGTGTCACCTCAACGCCTACTTGCCTAACAGCCGTCAAAAAAGAACTTTTTTCAAGATTACTCCATTCATAAAAGCACAAACAATTAACGTATATACAGTCAACTGCTAAAACACGCGAAACTACAACAGCACCAAAATGTTTCGGGGAAAAAGCCATATTTATCCAACTACAAAGCTAAATTGTGTCTAACTATCACACTTGTTAACATCATCGTTTTACTGAGACGAGCACAAATTGGTTATATGCAAATAAAATACTATGCGATTTTCACTGATGGCGAAAGTGGCCTTCAGCTTGTACAGATGTTAAGGAAAAACATGAATATCTAATAATAATATGTCCGATCACCACAAATTGAGATAACGGGATAACGACTATGCAGTAAGAAATTGGCTACGGCATTAAGAAACGTACAAAAATTTATCAAAAGAGACTCACCCTGTAAACTGCCACATTAAAGCATTCTGAAGATATTAGCAGAACTGCAAAAAACCAATAAGCAACGACCACAACCTTCTGGCCTTACTGCTGTGTAACGCAGAACTCGGCGGACAAGGCAAACAAACTACGAAGATGACAACTAGCAGGACAAAAAAGTAACAGCAGGACCACTGCGCCTTTCCGCCTGCATTCAGCTGTTTGTCCTGTCGGCTGAGTAAGAACACCGACACTGTGCCCCTTCAAAACACTTAAGCAGCAAACAAACAGCAAAACATCGGGCACTACATACAACGCTCCGAAGACCTTCAAAGATCAGGGCTGGAGTAAAAGTACCTGAGCAGAGTTTAACAAAGTCTTCTTTACTGCTTCCCAGCTAATCAAATAAGTAGATCAACAGAACAGTAGTTCCTTTTTTAACTAAAGAAAAAATCTGATAGTTGAACGTTGAGGGAATAAAAACCCATTGGCCTTGATATCCTATAAATGTGTTAGAAACTGTATATACGACGGCATCCAAAGGGTTTAAAGGCAACAGCCCTTTACTATTAATGAAAGTGATATAGCATTGTAACCAGTACGGACACTCAAAGAATCAAATCTAAACACTATGAGGGTCAGCTTTTTTACACTTCTTACTCATAATTCAATAAATATTCAAGAAAACCTGTTTCAAATTATTAAGAACTACTTTGCATTGTGCCAATTAATCCTCCTAAATAGCGCTATATAATAAAGACAAAAAATTGGAACAGTGCTACTTCGGTATCCTTTCAATTACAGGGAACTCTGGGAGGTAAAATGTCGGAACCAGACACGATTGACCGTTTCAGGGCAAAAAAATGCCATTTGAGAACAAAATACACACACACTCACAAAAAAAAAGCAAGTTCTATTTTCAAACTTTAGTTGGCTTCACAGTAGTACCTAATTGCTCCAAAGATCCTGAAACCTCGAGATTTCTGCTATAAAACGACGTTTCAAAGAACTTAAATATACCAATCCCACAAAAACCTTATATTTTATTTATTCGTTTGACCGGTAGACTTCGGTAGGAGCATTGATAATTGGTTGTTTTACAAAAATTCAAAAAACATTGTTTCCGATACCCCACTTTCTTCGCATCTTCGCTGTTTTCAGAGATCCAAAAAAAAGACGGTAAGCTATGCACAACAAAACAAGTCCTGTCCAGAGTAACGTACTAATAAAGCCAGTTTTGCTATTACCACTATTCGAAGACTAAAATAAAAATTTGAATAACGAAAGAGGTTTAAATTAGCTACAAGAAGCCAATCAAAAATGAGGAAGTTTCCTAAAACTTGTAATTAAGGTGTATGGTGCATTAAATGAAAAAAGTGGAAAAAATCTTAGTTTAGTTAAAAGGCCAAAAAAATCTACGAAAATTTCGCGCGTAAATAGCGTGATAAATAGGTATCAAAAAAAAAAAAACACTCTCTTTACTCATTTTCTAAATTCAGCTGAAAAGGTGTGATACCAGAATAAAGTAGACGTATGATGACGAATAACATATTCGTTGAACGACAGAAAATCACCATAAAGCAAATAAAAGCCGAAGAGCAGTTGGTTACTGCAAATGAAAGTTAAACATAAAACTCTGCACTGTTGCAGCTCGTCCTATCTCTCCGCAGTCAGCTGATAACAACCTATGTAATCAACAGTCCCTTTGTGATAATAGCAGACGTTTGGGAATACCATGTATACTAAAAAGCAAAAGCAAATTATTTTAACAAACAGGAAGAAAAGCGGAAAATGATCCGAACCCAAAAATTTTAAAAAAAAGCAAGTCGCCATTGCAAAACTGCCCAATTTCCCCGCTTCAGTTACTTACTTCTACACTAAACACACCTATAAAACTCACGAAACACTACATAACAGTCACAGCAGAAGCAAGAAGCACTGTTCTAAACGAGGCAGAAACGATTAGACAATAGAAAGCGTAAATGCAAAAGTTGAAAGCAAGTAAGTTTTCCAAGGACGACTGTGTGGTGCAGTAACAATTCAATTGCACTGAACAAGCCAAAAGTTTCAAAAAAAAGTACAGCTAACGTGCACAGACACCATAAACTGAATCAGAAGAAAAGTGTGAAAATTCATCGAACCAGAGTGAAGAACATGGTAAACTTCACTTTCAAAATACTATATTTTTCTTTCCTCTTTCTTTTCGACCCATAAAGACAGTCTTTATACTTTGAATGTATATTCCAAGAATTATAAGCCGATTTTACTGCAAACCATAAATTTTCCAAAGTTACCTATTTCTTACTGGTAACATTTGAGATGTAAATTTCATGACAGAAATATTAAAAAAAGATTGTAAACGACAAAAAATTAGAAATAAGAACTTTTTGAAGCTGTCAGAAGTTGTTGCTAATAACAATTTGAACACCAAAAACCGCAATGTCATCACATCAAAAAGGTTTTTCATAAAAACATATTCCCCAAATTTCCAATTGTTTCCCCTTTTTTTTTTTTTTTTTTTTTT